TTGTATAGATCTATCTACTTTGTCTGATATTTCTTTCTAGCCCACTGGATCCATGCACAGCAATGTAAAGGTGGTACTCGCAAGTGACCTCAATATCAGGGGGCGCATTCGCCCAGGGCGCTGCTTTTCCTTTACACGGTTGTGCATCCATTTCGGACAGAACGCGGCTCGAATTTTGAGGGTGGGGGCATGGGCGCCCGCAGAAAACTTTCTAGGGTGGGGGGGGGGCAAAAATCGATTTACTTTCCAGGGGGGGGGGACACATTTTTAGTAATGTTTTAATATAGTTTTAATTTACTGTAGCGTATTTGTATGGTGAACGAACGGACAGGACATCAGCTTAGTTACTTTCTCTTTAATTTCTCTTTACTTTGATAATTTTTTGGTCTATTTTTGTCTAAATTTTTCTTTATCCAATCAATCGGGGGGGGGGCAAGTGCCCCCCTTGCCCTACCTGCGGGCGCCCATGGGTGGGGGTTATGTGGGAAATATTTGTTAAAACTTTAAATATAATTGTCAATGTCCTGTCTTAAAATTTGTGACAGTTTCGATTTCTTTCTCAATAAATAGCTGGTGATTTACTAAGACTAAGAGGCGAAAAGTGGGAAAGTAATGAAATATATGTCAGTAGCGAAATAAACACCATTGCAAACAGATGAATAATAGAGCAATTTGGCTCCATCCAGATACAGTCAATCCACTTGCATAGGAAGGGGGCTCTGGAGTATCTAAATCATCTAAATCATTTAGTATCTAAATCATCTGCATTACTAGATTTTAATTTTTAAAAATGATCTACGAAAATGGCTTAAACTAAAAAAGAAAATAGGAAAGAAAAAAATCTACCCGTCCTAAGAGAAATTAACATAGCAAAAATTAAAAAAAAAACACTAAAAAGAATAAAACTATGAATCTATGAAATAACAAGGAGAATAAACAATTTAAAAAAAAAATAATTCTCATACTATTATTGTTATCACACCCGGCTCCGAAGCCATTTAATCTGTACGGAGCCGAATAGTTATTAACGATTAAAGGTACCCGGGTACCTATAGATGCAGCCTATATTTTCAGCCTTCTCCCCCTAGTGCATCTTTTCCTCGACATGGCTTACTTAGCTTTTAATTTTAATTTTTTTTTTTTTACACGGCTACACCGGTAGCTTTTTAAAAAAAAATAATTAAAATGTCGAGTTTTTAATTCTAGTTTAATAATTTCACCTTTAATATAAACTATTTTTAATAATAAAGATAGAATAATAGAGCTTCCTCTGATCCTCGATGTTACAAACACAATGGCATTAGCGAGGTTAACGAAGTTCAAGGATTATACACTTGATATCGATCAGATCTGAGCTCCCAGGATGACGAAGCCGTGTGCCGCGTCCATTCAAATCATCCTCATTCGGATTTTTTAATTTAAAAAAAAAAAAAAATATTGTGTAGTTTCTTTTAGTCAGTGGTTCCTATCTTGTGGGTCGCGACTATTCTGTGGGTCGTGATATGTCAGGGATCGCATTAGTATTTGAGAATTATTTTTTTTTATTTTTTAAATATCCATTATTATCTCGCGTACACCACCTTTCATTGTGAGAATGATTGTCTCTAACCTGTGTTACTGTGTTTTCCTTAACGCTTCGTTCAAAAACATGATTCATTCCACGATGTAAGCAGTTAATATAATACAAACATTTTGACAAATTTTGACAAATAAAATAATACATCATTTTAATGATATTTGTATTTTCCTTCTTATGGTATGATTTTGGGCAAATTCTGGGTAAAAGTGCAGTTCAGGTGCGTATATTATTTCTTAGCGCATTTCGTATTTAAATTTTTTTTATCATTTAAACTTACGTGTATTCTTTAATAATTAAATCCAGGCAGTTATAGTTAACTAATTCTTGATTATAAATCGCATCTTTTCTTTTTATTTTACTTCTAAAGAGTCTTTAAACATCCCCCAACCAAAGTGACACAGCCCCCATTTGTTTGTATTTTTCTTTTTACGCTATGCCAGATTTTTAGCCACCTATAAGTTAGTAATGCTAAACGAAATTTTCAAACTAAGCATGTTCACAAAAAAGAATGAAATACTAGATTCTTCATTACGCACAAGC